GTCTGGTTGAAGGCCGGGCAGAAGCCGATCCCGTCGCGCGCCGCCATCGCCTTGGCCTTGCCCGCCGCGCGCGCGACCTCGACCTTGTTGTCGACGATGAGGCTCTCGAAGGTCTTCTTCTTGGCGACGTTCGCCGCTGCGGCGCGCCTCTCCTTGAGCGCCTGCGCGGCGCACTGCGCGTCGTGGATGATGTCGGCGTTGGTCAACCCAAATGCGCGGCAGGAGGGGCAGAGTTTGTTGCCGAGGACCTTGACGCACCCGACCTCGAGGCGGAGGGGTCCGCCGACATCGCCGCTCGCGTAGACGTTGGGCAGGACCGGGAGGTTGCAGACGAGGTTCTCGTTCTTCACCTTGAAGAGGATCGAGCCGTCCTTCTCGTCCGACTTCGTGCCCAGGAAGGAGTGGTATCCCTCCTGGATGGAGACCATGTTGCCGAAGTGCTTCTCCAAGAGGGGGGCGAAGTGCTCGATCTGGGCCGCGGTGTCGATGGCGCCGCGCGTGCGTATGGCGAGGAGGCCGTCTGAGTCCGTGGTCGCCTGGGTCTCGCGCGCCTCCGCCTGCTTGCCCCACACGGTGGCGTCGAGAGCGGCGAAGGTGATGGTGATGTTGTCTGGCGCTGGGAGCTGTAGGACGCCACCGCCGGTGTACTGCTCGAGGAAGGCGCGTGCCTCGCTCTCGCCGCTGAAGGCGACGCAGATGGCGCGCGACGTGCCGATGATGGGCACGCTGATCGCGCTTGCCTGCTGCGCCTCGCCGCCTGGTGTCTTCTTGATCAATTGGCGCACCTCGGTGACGAGTGCCGTCTTGTTCTGGATGTCCGGGATGTGCGAGCCGTCGCGCGCCGCGAGCGCGACGTGCAGCAGGCGCTTCGTGCCGCGGTCGGTGCCGGCGGCCGCCGCAGCGGCCATCTGTGCAGCGTCCACCATAATGGTGTCGCCTTCTTTGGCGTCGTCGTCGTTGACGCGCGCGCTCGCGAGCTCGCCGTCGAGGCGGCGCTTCACGCCGAGTCTCTGGCCATCATCGGCCTCTTGCGCGCCGTCGCGGCCGCGCGCCGCGCCCTCGGCAGCGGCAGCGTTGAGCACCGGCGTTGAGCACCGGCGGCGGCAGGCCGGCCGAAGCGAGCGCCATTCAAGTGAAGCGCCGTTCAAAGGCACTCCTTCCAAGGGTCACAAGCTGCGGTCCGATTTCTTTTTTCAGGCTGGCTTCAGAGACACACAAATGTGTATATGAGCTTCCCGGTTGAGGCAACGCTCGCCGCCTCCGCCACCGCCGCACTCCTCGGTGTTCTGTCCGCGCCGCTCATCTCGTCGCCCATCTGCGCCGCGCTGGTCTTTGGCTGGATCGCGTGCATCGGCGTCGCGCTCACGCTGGCGGCGCCACCCGTCGAGCCTCCTCCGAGCGAGGCGGAGTACGAGGCGCACGGGCTGGGCCCGCTGCCCGGCGGCGCGCCGCCCGCACAGCTCTACCTCGACCTGATGAAGCGGATCGTCCTCAACCTCTGCTACCATGAGCAGTCGCACCAAGTCG